TTAACATTGATCAATGGATTTCTAAGACGCTGGTAAAGCATTGACTACTATTATGAGTCAGAAGCTCAAGATTTTAATTTTCCTTTGGTTGTCTTCTAAATATAGGATTGAGGAGCTTCTCATCAGGCTAAAAATATCTCTGTCCCATCTATATCCAGCCCTCTGGACCAAAAAAGTGTTCATACTTCTCAACCCAAAGCTGTGGCTTTGGCTATGACTCAAAAACATGAGTCTACTCCAGCTGTTTGACAGACACCATTTACTGCTTTATCTATAATGAGGACTTCAGTACAGATTCCAAGTAGTGGTAATGCTAATATGTCTAAAACTTTTATCTTATCTAAAAATAATTCCTGTAAGCTCAGGAAGTGGAAGAAGTCATAAGACTTGGCTCTGCCTCTCACAGATCAAAAGAACCCCAGACAAGTACTCCTGTCAATCAACAGCCTGTACTGGGGGTGAGATCTCTCTCTCTCTCTCTCTCTCTCTCTCTCTCTCTCTCTCTCTCCCTCTCTCCCCTGGTCTTCGGACTCCTCCCCTCCCACAACTACCAGGACTATGCGTCAGTAAGCTCCAAATATAAAAGTTTCCTTGGTGCTCTTTAACTTCTGTCGACAGTCTGTGTTTGTCTCGGCAAAGTCCCACTCGGCTGGTGGGCAGCATCAGCTGTGGACTACAAACTGCTCCAAAGGTGAACTACACCACGCCAGTCCCCAAACCATAAGCCCTGGACTTGAAAACTGATCTAAACCACTCCAACCGGTGTAATTGCTCCCCGTCTCTTCAGCTGGGTCAGTAAACCAGATGCAGCTGATGAATGCTCCATTGCCCTAATCCCCTCTCAGCTTTTGACTGACATTCCAGCCTTCCTGCACCCTGACAACAGCATCCTAATTTTAGCAGGAAGTAGTGAGGAGAAGACATCATCTGTTGTCCTCAACAAAGACTGGAATGTTAAATCGAAAGGGAACTCCGTGTGTGTGTGTGTGTGTGTGTGTGTGTGTGTGTGTGTGTGTGTGTATGTATGTATATCCATAAATATATAACTGCATATATGTACACACATATATATATAGCTACATATATATAGCCACATATATATATATATAACCATATAGATTATGCCTATTGGCATACCAAACTCCTTCGTTGTCAAAAAAGGTACCTGTTAAAACCAAACAGACTGCCTGGCAGTGGTGGCGCATGCCTTTAATCCCAGCACTTGGGAGGCAGAGTCAGGCGGATCTCTGTGAGTTCAAGGCCAGCCTGGTTTACAGAGTGAGTGAGTTCCAGGACAGCCAGGGCTACATAGAGAAGCCCAGTCTTGAAAAACCAAACAAAAACAAACAAAAAACCACAAATAGGCTAAGCTCTGTCAACTGGTAGACTAGACTCATTAGCTAAAATAGTTCTCCAATATGATAAGGCACTTGACCTGCTCTATACAGAACAAAGAGGATGGCTTTAAGAAAAATTATTCTTTCTATGCTAACCAATCAGACATAGAGAAACCCTAACCATGATAGAAGTTCTGTCTCTCACCAAACAGAAAATGCGAAGGTGCTTGTGGTCCACCGGCATCTCAGCCTGTGCAACAGATATAAATGACCAGTCACTATCGAGGATTTGACACACAGACAAGGGGGATGGTGGACCAGCCTGACTCCTTCTTAAGGATGGAAATCATTTTGTCATAAGGCCAGAACAAGTCCATTTCTGTGTGCTGCAAAATTCAAGCTGACCATGCTTTACCCTGTTTCTGGAATTTGACATGCCCCCTCCATGGAGTTTGACTCACACCTTGAATGTACCTGAAAAGATGTTATGCCAAATCGTTTTAAAATGTTCTGCCAAGTTCCCAAGTAACCAAAATTCCTCTGGAAATCCCCCAACCTTTGAAACCTCCCCCCAGTCTTGCAGGTATTTTTGGACTAAACTCTACCTTCTCCTGTTTTTTTTTCAAACCCCCACTTTAGGGGGGGTAGCCCTGTCTAACAGAAAATACAGCTCGCTTAATTTGGCCAAAGAATTTGGTGATGGTCTTTACTTTCATTCAGTGGGATTAACATCTGCTTAATTCTTTGTTTCCTTTTTTCCTTCATAGAAATTTTATTGTCCCCCCTTCCTTTTTTTTAATTAGCTGTTGGAGAATTTTGTAAGAATTATGGCTGAAGCCACCATACGCTTTGGACTGAGGCCTTGGAGGCCCAAGGTTGACTGACCTCTGTTCTCTATACTCATTCACCACATACTTTCATGAGCACCAGCTCACACACACACACACACACACACACACACACACACACACACACACACACAGAACACACACTCACACATACACAAAAAGTAATGCTTCGTAATTATTATGTAATTTTTAACAGAAATGCCCCCGACAGGAGTAATACCCATTAACAGAATTTTTCCCATTGTGGCTATCTGGCAAGTCAGAGCGGTACATTGTAGGAAAACATAGAAACTTAACATCTGGATAAAACACAAAGTTCAACTTTTTTTTAATTTTTTAAAAGATATATTTTTATTACTTTTAATAGTCTATGTGGGGAGAGAGGAATGTGAACATGAGTGCAGTCCCCATGGAGGCCAGCAGAGGGTGCTATATCTCCCCAAAGCTTGAGTTATGAGTGATTATGAGCCATCTGATGTGAGTAAAGTCTCTCAAACTCAGGTCCTAGGCAAGAGCAATAAATGCCCCTAACCACTGAGCCATCTTTCCAGCCCCCCAAACTTCAACTCTTTAACAGCTCAATACAAAGACAAAAGACAAAATCCTGTTCTGTGTGGCAGTTTTTTGTAAATGTCTATCACCAGTTTAACCTTGGGGCATTGAAATTTGACCCTGGGAGTGTTTAGTAACCTTTAAGTAAAGCCAATTAGTTCCAGCTTAAACTGCCATTATTGCCCCATCAATCTATTTCCATTCTAGAACAATCCTTTACCTTAGGACAAACCCATGTGACCTGACCTCTGAGAGTTATTTCCTTTCCCTTTCTAAATTCATATTTTACCAAAAACACATTTTGTATTTTATGTCTTGTCCTTGCTTGATGGTTTCTTTCTTATCACAAAATGTAGAAAGCATTGCTTAATAAAAGTAACTATTCTCCAAATGAAAACTCAAGCCTGGCACGCTGGTCCAAGCCTTTAATCCCAGCACTCAGGAGGCAGAGACGGGATCTCTGTGAGTTCCAGGCCAGCCAGACCTACACAGTGAGATTCCACTCCCTCCCCGCCCCCTCAAAAAAAAAAAAAATCTGTACTATATTTTGAAGTCTCCTGTCTATCTTTCTATAACAATCATTTCCTTTGATAAAAAAAATTTTCTTCTGCTTGGAGAGAAAGAGGAAAGAGCCAGAAGGTGAGACCCTATTGCTGAGGACAACACATGGCCCCCGTTGCAGGATGTAGAGAACTCAAGTCAGAACTGATCTGGAGGAGATCTCCCTGAGGACCAGCTCACTTATAAGGAGCTGGGAAATGTTTTACAATGCATCTTGATATTTTAACTGACCTGTAATAATTGTATTGTTATGCCCAGATCGCTGGGACCCCCAAAAGACTGCCACGGAGACCAAATCCCATATGTAAAAGCAAAGCACCTTTATTTTCAAGCTCCAAGGCTTGGTCTCTCTGAGCCCTGAGCTCAGGCAGGGTAGTTTTTATCATAGCAGAGGTTGGGGCGAGGGGATTTCCAGGGTGTAGGACCCTGATTGGTTGACATTTGTCTAGGGGTGCTGGGAATGTTTAGAATGTCAGGTATTTCCCCTTAGATGCAGGCCCTGCCTGGGTGGGGTCCACTCATGGCTTTTCCTGGGTCTGGCTGTTGCCTGCCAGTAAGCCTGTCACAGAAGCTGTGTCTGGGCCTCCAAGCCTGTCATGGCAGCTGTGTGGTCAAGCTGTTTTGGCACACACACACACACACACACACACACACACACACACACACACACACTATGGTTTTTTGTTTGTTTTTTTTTTTTTTGAGAAGTGTTTAACGTTTTATTTGGTTTGTTTTTGTTTATTTTTTGAGACAAACTCTCACACAGCCCAGGCTAGTCTCTATGTAGCAGAGGCTGGCTTCTGCCTCCACTCCCCATGTGCTGGGACTCAAGGCATGCACCACACCTGACATAAAAGTCATGTTTTCTAGTTACGTCATCCATTGTAGTCATTTTCTCACCAAGAGAAGGAGAGCAGGACAAACTCCTCGTGGATTTGGAGGTTTTATTGAGCCACCCAAGCACGCCCTCCTGTGATCACATGATAAAGAGGCCCGGAGCTCAGGGAGCAGGGGGGTTATAGAGGTAAAACCACAAGTTTGGTGCATCCGGTGACGTGGCTGGGATGGCTGTTAGCTGGCATGACAGGATATGAACTTCAGCAAGAATAGGGCACAGCTGTGTCGCCATGCAGAACCATGGCCGGTGAGTTACGGTTCCTGTAAATACTGTGCACGCCCGAGGGTCAGGCTGACCTCAGTTTTAGCCGGATGGCGGGTCAGGATTGAGCAAATGTGCTTTTGTTTGTTTGTTTGTTTTCACTTGAAGTTCTGACGCTGAGGGTCCATGTCGTGGGGTTTCTCCTGATTGATAGGTTTCCTGGGGGGGGGGGGGGGAAGACTACACTTCCAAGCTTCGGTGCAGACAGGCAACTCTGGAAAGGAGGGACAGCGAGAGCGCGCGCGCGCGCGCGCACACACACACACACACACACACACACACACACACACACACGCACACACACTCCTTGCAGTCATTTCCGCTCCTATACCGGGTCACAGACATCTTTTTCCTGCAGTCGTTCTTTCATCCACCCACTTGGATGGGACTATGTCCCGTTACCATGAACAAATGGGGTCCGGTCTATGCAGAGTCACGATGCCTCTTTCCGCCTTCCGTCTCTTTTTAAGCCGCCTCAGAAATCTTACACTGATAATCTGGTTTTCATAGCACAGTTACCTGCCTCTGCTTGTATGTTTCCAGGGCCCTTAATGCCCCGGAGGAGCAGCGAAGTTTCCCCCAGTCAGCCTTCACCCAGAAGTGCAGAGCTCGGCAAAGGCGCCTTCCTCTGGCCTGGATCACCAGCTTTGGTAAGGAGGGGAGGGGCACTGGGGTGAGGCTAGCGCCAGTGGTCCAGCAGGACCATCACAAACTTGGTCACCTTCTGTCTTCTCTGCCTTCTCACGCGCTGGCCACACTAATTTTGGCTTCCCTCGTGAACGCAAGCTGGCTTCCAGAACTTCCCACGGTTATGAGCTCCCTCCGAGAACATCAGTAGCTTCACAATACTTTCCACTCTGTCTCCCAACAACAGCAGCCAGATCGCTCAAAGTTGCGAAATCACTCACATGACTCTGTGCCCTAGGAATGAAATGCAAGCCCCACTCCTCACACACCCCAGTTCTTTCTACACCAACAATTCCTCCAACCTTTTAAAAGTTCCACGCCTAGGGGGTCTCTCCTCTCCTCCCCGCCCTTCGTTCACGGCGGGCCCTCCTCTGGACCTTTCTTCCTGGCTTCTTGAGCTGATTAAGTCAAGCAGGAGAGACTGAAATGTGTGACTTTGGGACACCAGCATAAAACCCAGGAAATTTATACAGCTGGTAGTTCCTATTATGATTGTCGCTGAGGTTAGCACGAGCGAACTGCTCTGTGTGTAGGAGGGAGTTGGGGATGGATCACAACAGAAACCCTTCCGGGTTCAGCGGCGGCTTTTGCAAATGCTGGCTAGAAAGCCCGGAGAATGAGGGAAAGCCGCCATCTGGTGGAGAAAGGAGGGAACTATGGGAACCCAGCCCATCAAACGCCTGCCCACCACACCCCTACCTCCCATGAAATCCCAAATAGAAGTCAAAGCTAATATGCTTCCCGGAACCCTGAAACTTCCAGACAACCAGAGTAATTGTGTGAAATATATTTCTTCTTGAAATAGTTACTGGTTTTTTTATTTACTTCTTGCCTCACCCACTAGGATCTGTGAACATCTGAACATCTCTTGTTCAGAGCCTTGTTCCTCCAACAGGAGGGTGGAACACACGGTAGGTGCTCAGTAAATAATACAGGATGTTATTTAAATGAACATTACCTCCAGCTCAAACCTGAATCTCTCCCCACAAAGTAAGGATCCTCTTGAGAACCAAGAAATATGCCTGCCCCAACTTCTGGATCAGACTCAGGACCCTAAGACCCAACATGGAGAAGTTCCTGTTCAAGCAGCAGTTAACCTCCTTCCAGAACCTGCACAAGCCCGTTCCTGAAGTAGTGAGCAAGGGGGTCAGGTGAAACCCAAAAGCTCCCTGGTCTCTGGGTCTGAAGAGAGCAGGGGTACGAATGGCGGAGTACCCATGGTGGTGGGACAGGAAGAATGGGGATTTGAACAATAGGAAGCGTTGTGAGCTGTGAATTAGGAACCGCTGGCAGATTCATCCAAAGACCCCACATTCCTGGACTGAAAGTGCTTATGGTTTTGTTTTGTTTGTTTGTTTGTTTGTTTGTTTTAATGTGTATGAGTGTTTTGCCTGCAAGAGTGTAGGTGCACCACAGGTGTATGCCTGGTACCCACGAAGTTGAGGACATTGGATCCCCTGGAACTGGGGTTGCAGAAGGCTATGTATGAGCTGCCATGTGGGTGCTGGGAACCAAACCTGGGTCCTCTGCAAGAGCAACAAGTGCTCTTAACTACTGAGCCATCTCCCAATGGGCAGGATTTTTAGCGTGTCCAAGAATTCTTCACCCCCACCAGGACTTTGATCCTCACAGCATAGGGCGTCATTTAAAAAATAAAAATAAAAAACTTTTAAACAGAAGTCGTCTGAGTTACTGAGGGTGATGGGTAGAAACACCCTGGGAACTACCTGCATGGTGCGGGGGTGGGGCAGGGAGAGAGTTCCTTCTCTCAATAAAGAGGAAGGAAAACCTACTGCTTATCATGGAAGTTTCCCAGGTGTTGGAAAAGGTGCCTGACGCCAAATGAGCTTTCCCCTCCCTTCCTCCTGTGCCAACTCCTGAGAGAGAGCTGTGGTTTATGGCAGAAGAAATACATTGTGTGTTTTTGGTGGAGACAGGGTCTCTTACAGCCCAGACTAGCCTCAGACTCCCTACATAGCCAGAGATGACTTTGAACTTGTAAGCCTTCTGTGGGTTTGTGATTGCAAGCATGTGCTACGCTGCCTGGTTTCTGTGGTTCTAGATCTGATGTGGAAATGTTCTAGTGCTTTTTACAAAAGGCTAGTACTCCGGGCATGAAACCCAGAGCCTCGGACATGATAGGCAGGGCCTCACCACCGAGCCACACCCCAGCCCCTCACTGGGGAATTCTAGGCAGGGGCTCTACCACTGAGCCACACCCAGCCCCTCACTGGGGGATTTAGGCAGGGACTCTACCACTGAGCCACACCCCAGCCCCTCACTGGGGGATTCTAGGCAGGGGCTCTACCACTGAGCCACACCCCAGCCCCTCACTGGGGGATTCTAGGCAGGGGCTCTACCACTGAGACACACCCCCCAGCCCCTCACTGGGGGATTCTAGGCAGGGGCTCTACCACTGAGACACACCCCAACCCCTCACTGGGGGAATCTAGGCAGGGGCTCTACCACTGAGCCACACCCCCAGGACCTCAATGGGGGATCCAGAAGGAAGAAACGTAGAGGGATATGGGAAGGAAAGAAGAGAAAAAGGGAAAGATGAGGGCTGGAGAAACAGGACAGCTAGCAAGAGCGCTGCTGTGTAAGCATGAGGACCAAGCTCCCACCCTCTCTCCTTTCCTTTTTGAGGCAGAGCTTCCTATTTTTCCCAGGTTATCTTTGAACTCAAGATCCTCCACACTCAGCCTCACCGACCTGGGATTACAGGTGTGCACTGCCATGCCCGGCCACTGGAGCATTTATAGAGACACTAAGGAATAGAGGCTTGTTAGGTAAGAGAGTACTGAATATGTGTCATTGCACTGCCTTCCCCAAGAGGCTGCTGACAGTTTTTCTCTCCACTAGGAATGTGTTAGAGCCTCCTCACCTCCACCCCGAATAAGGGTGTCACAAATTCTTTTGTTGTTGTTGTTTTGTTTTACCTTTTAGAGCTTTATTAGGAGGAGAGAGAGAGAGAGAACCAATTCTTAAATGTATGGATAGAAAGAGGTCAACAGTATCTTTTTGTACTTTATTTTTTTTTTAAGAAAAAAGAAGAGAGGAGGTCTCATGTAGTCCAGGCTGGCCTCAAAACTGTCAGTGTGGATGCCCTTAAATCCATGATCCTATCTCCACCTCCCACGTACTAGGATTATAGACATATACCACTACTTTGGGCTAAGTTGGCTTTTCTTTGTTTGGGTTTTGTTTTGTTTTGTTTTCTGAGACAGGTTTTCTCTATGTAACCCTGGCTGTCCTGGAACTTGCTCTGGAGAGCCAGGGTAGCCCTGAACACAGAGATCCACCTGCCTCTACCTCCCGAGTGCTGGAGTTAAGGCTATTACAGTTGAGGCTCTGGGTTCAATGCCTAGAACCATAAAAACAAAACAAAAATTAAAAATTTTCTATTCTTGTGCCCTGAAGAGATTTCAAGAGTCTGGACTTCTCTTGGAGAGGACCTCGGTTTGAGTCCCAGCATCTACAGTTGGTGGCTCACAACCTTCTGTAACTCCAGCTCCAGGTGATCAATGCTCTAGCCTTGGCAGGCATCCACACTCACATGCACATACCCACAAACAGAAATACACACAAACAGGCACATACACATAACCAAAAGAAAAATTTAACTGCCAGGTATAGTGGTGCACACACCTTTAATCCCAACACTTGGGAGGCAGAGGCAGGCAGATCTCTGTGAGTTCAAGGTCAACTTGTCTACATAGGGAGTTCCAGGACAGTCAGGGCTATATAGAGACATCCTGTTTAAAAAAAAAAAAAAAGTTTTAATTCATTAATTAATCAGTTATTTTGAAACAAGCCTGGTCTACATGACAAGACCCAGGCTTGTCAGGGCTACATAACGAGACCCTGTCTCCCAAAAAACAAAACAAAACAAAAAAAACCCACAACAGTTAATTCAATTTTTTCAAATGTCTACTGTTAACTGTGTGAGGCGGCTCACTATTTTGTGTCTGACTTTTAGACCCCATCACACATTATCAGTTGCACATGGTGTGAGATGGGGGTTCAACACTTTCTGAATGGCCGGCCCTTGGCCTAGGCGTCATTTATAATATAGTTTGAGCTGGTTTTAACTTTCTGCCCTTCACTCGTTATCAGGATGACCTTGGGACTGGACCGTTTTTTTGGCATAGATGACTACTTCCTTCTTGAAATGTTTACTTCCCTTAGCTTCTGTCACTGGACACTGCCCTGGATTTCCTTCTGCTTTTGTTCCCCCTTCCTCTCTCCCTCCCACGCCCAAAGACATGAAGATCAGGAGTTCAGGGTTAGCCTCCACCAGTCAGCAAATGGACAGTCGGGTTGGGCTGCCTGAGAGTCTGCCTCATGCCAGGGGGTGGGAGTACCATCTGCCTATCACTCTTGTTGCCTCTCCGCCTATACCCAGCACCCCAGGTGATGCTCAGCACACAACAGGCACTCAGCAGTTACCGGATGGTTGAAATGATGTACAGTCCACCATCAAGTCATGTGGCTCTTCCCTATTAGCTGTGTGTGTGTGTGTGTGTGTGTGTGTGTGTGTGCGTGTGTGTGACACATGAGTGCAAATGATTAAGAGACCAGATGCCCTGGAGCTGGGGTTACGGGCAGTGTGAGCCCCTGACATGGGTGCGGAGAGCAGACTCAGGCCCTCTGCAAGAACAGTATGTGCTCTTAACCACTGAGCCGTCTCTCCAGCCCCTTAACATTATCTTACTCACTGAACCACTTCTTTTACTATCATTGCTCTTCCCTCCACCCTGTACTACTTCCTTCTACCTGGACTGTGTTCTCTCTTCAGTTGTCTCCCAGCACGAACTCCGGCCCTGTCAGACAAAATCTCAGATCTGATCAGGCCTTTTCTGATGGTCATCCCCAACATTAATCAATATTAATATTAATTAATTAATTAATATTCTTTAGTCGCTCATGCAGACCCAAAGGCCTCACCATTCATGACAGCATGTGCTTCACTTTTTCCAGCTGTGTCCTATCACCCACAGACCCTTACCTTCTTGCTACACATGAACATTCTGAACATACATGACCTACTCTGTTCCCATGGGGACCATGCAGAACTGCCAAAGAGAAGAACCTCGAGAAATCAAGAGCTTGGAACCTTAACTTTAAGATTACAAAGCAGAACTTAGGGTTGTGACTCAACAGTAGAGCCCCTGCCTAGAATCCCCCAGTGAGGGGCTGGGGGTGTGGCTCAGTGGTAGAGCCCCTGCCTAGAATCCCCCAGTGAGGGGCTGAGGGTGTGGCTCAGTGGTAGAGCCCCTGCCTAAATCCCCCAGTGAGGGGCTGGGGGTGTGGCTCAGTGGTAGAGCCTCTGCCTAGATTCCCCCAGTGAGGGGCTGGGGGTGTGGCTCAGTGGTAGAGCCTCTGCCTAGATTCCCCCAGTGAGGGGCTGGGGGTGTGGCTCAGTGGTAGAGCCCCTGCCTAGAATCCCCCAGTGAGGGGCTGGGGGTGTGGCTCAGTGGTAGAGCCCCTGCCTAGAATCCCCCAGTGAGGGGCTAGGGGTGTGGCTCAGTGGTAGAGCTCCTACCTAGAAACCCCCAGTGAGGGGCTGGGGGTGTGACTCAGTGGTAGAGCCCCTGCCTAGAATCCCCCAGTGAGGGGCTGGAATGTGGCTCAGTGGTAGAGCCCCTGCCCAGAATCCCCCAGTGAGGGGCTGTGGGTGTGGCTCAGTAGTAGAGCCCCTGCCTAGAACCCCCCAGTGAGGGGCTGGGGGTGTGGCTCAGTGGTAGAGCCCCTGCCTAGAATCCCCCAGTGAGGGGCTGGGGGTGTGACTCAGTGGTAGAGCCCCTGCCTAGAATCCCCCAGTGAGGGG